GGTGGCGGTGGCGGCGGCGGCGGCGGCGGCGGCGGCGGCAGCAGATTGCAGGCTGCAGGCTGCTGGCTGCGGGCTGCGGGCTGCGGGCTGCAGGTTCCCGGGCTGTCGCCTGAAGGCTGCGGGCTGCCAGCGGCGGCGACTTGGCTGGCTCTGCGCGTTCCTGGCACTGCTCGCCATCCCAGGTGACTCGGTCCCGCGGGCTCCACCAGCTCGGGCCCCGGTCCGCAGCTCCAGCTCGCGCCCCGGGCCCGTGTTCCGGCGCGCATCGGCCCTCGCCGCCTCTCCGCCCCCTCAGTTCGCGGGAAGGAAGGTCGCGGCAGCGGCCCGGCGGCAGCGGTGACAGTGGCGACCTCGGCGACAGTGGCGGCGGCGGTGGCTGCAGCGGCTGCTGCGGCGGCGGAGGCTGCGGCGGCGACCGTGGCGGAGGCGGTGGCGGAGGCCTCGGTGGCGGAGGCGGAAGCAGAGGTGGAGGCGGAGGCGGAGGTGGAGGCCGAGGCCGCGGGAGGGGAGGCAGTGGCGGAGGCCAGCCTGGGGGAGGCGGCGGCCGCGGCAGCGGTGACTGCCGCGGTGGCGGGGGAGGAGGCGGAGGCCGCCGACTCGGCGGAGGTGGAGGCCAAAGCCGGCGAGGCCGCAGCTGCAGCAGAGGCTGCGGCGCCCCCCCCTGATACAACAGGGGATGCGGAGCTGGCGGCGGCGCTCGCGGTGGCGGAGGCTGCAGAGTATGAAGAAGAGATGGGCGGGGGCCCCGACGGGAACCCAGACTTTCCCATGGCCTCGCTGTACGTGGGAGACCTGCACCCCGAGGTGACCGAGGCAATGCTGTACGAGAAGTTCAGTCCAGCCGGGCCCATCCTCTCCATCCGCATTTGCCGGGACAAGATCACCCGACGCTCCTTGGGCTATGCCTACGTCAACTACCAGCAACCGGTGGACGCCAAGAGGGCCCTGGAGACCCTGAACTTTGATGTGATAAAGGGCAGGCCGGTGCGCATCATGTGGTCCCAGAGGGACCCCTCTCTGCGCAAGAGCGGGGTGGGCAACGTCTTCATCAAGAACCTGGGCAAGACCATTGACAACAAGGCTCTGTACAACATCTTCTCGGCCTTCGGCAACATCCTGTCCTGCAAGGTGGCCTGTGACGAAAAGGGGCCCAAGGGCTATGGCTTCGTGCACTTCCAGAAGCAGGAGTCGGCCGAGCGAGCCATAGATGCGCTGAATGGCATGTTCCTGAATTACCGCAAAATTTTCGTGGGAAGATTCAAGTCGCATAAAGAGAGAGAGGCTGAAAGGGGAGCCTGGGCCAGGCAGTCCACCAGTGCTGACTTCAGGGATTTCGATGACGACACCGACGAGGAGGCCACCTTTCGATGAAGACATCCCAGGAGCCAGCCACTACAGTCAAATCTTGGCTCCCACCCGGTTTACAGTCCCCCCCCC